ATTCCAAATGAAGAATCGACTATTTTTTAAATCAAGTACTGCTCGTACGCAGCCAGTACCTTTTCGTCAACAAACATTTCCGGCCGCTGTAGTGACACAATGATACTAGACGGACAGCTGACAACAAATTCCATTGTCTTATTAATAGATCAATATCTCCTACCTCATTGCACTACCGTAACATCATTAAAAACTGATCGGGAAAAAAGTCAATGCAACCCTTGATTATATACACTAGTGCAACGTACGATTGAGTGGTGGAATCATATACCGCCAGACCGCGTTAAAAGTGCGTGAAAAAGACAATAGATCCTCAGTCATCTAAAATTATTTTCATATCTATAAGGTGTTTGAATTCCTGAATATCGGCTGATGATGAGTTTTTTTAAATGGGACACCCTGTTTTCAATTGCAATTCCGAATGCACTTGTATTACATACAAAAATAACATAATTTCATGTATACCTTTCAACCGATATCAATGATATTTGGGCAACTGAATATGCCTACTCATACTAATGCTCCTTTCGATATGCAAACGACCGTTCAGTGTTTATGTTTTATACAGAATGGGACGTAAAAATGTAGGCATTTTTGACAAAGGTGACGACATTTTGCTTCCACCTTTGATTTCTTCATCTTCTCCTAACAAAGATGGTATTATTTATTTTAATCGATATGTACAACGTTCCAGAGAAAATCGCATTTTAAAAACTTACATCCCAACCATTTCAAGGATGATAAAAACTATATTCTTTTAATAACATCATGGTAGTTGCAGGGCTGATAGAGTGAACCAAAATCATGCTATTACTTCATGTGAAAAAATGTCTCTAGCACTTCGGTACGGAGTTATTGACCTCAAAAGTTTATATGGACTTGCAGAAGCTTTCAATATATAGTTTTGGTCGAGTTACCTGTAAGATTTTCTTCCTGCCCTTCCACTTCACTCTAGGGGATGACCACTGATAATGAACCTGACCACTGATTTAATTTCATATGATTACATGATGAATACATCAAATAAGGTAGATATATACATATATATATATATATATGAGTTTTTTACATTGAAAATTCCGTTATACCATTGAAAGCCATTATTATGAGAACTGATTTCATATTTCCTGGTCACACTGCCGAAAATTGCACAGAAAAAAAGTTGGTAAAAGAAATACCCTTACCTCACCTATTTTCCACGCCCTAGATCAAAATTTCGGAAAATTCTCAACATTTCAAAATCGGGCATGAAATAGGTATACATGTACGAAATTATGTCATCTCAACACACAGGGTTTCGAGAATATTCATAAAAAACCATCTTGGGCCCTCTTTCAGATGGATTTCAGGGGGACATTTCTGGATTCATGTTTATATAAACTTTTTTTGCTATTTTTGTTCCTAGAATCTGTGGTTGAAATCTTTCTATGTAATTTCAGGACACTCTGTATACGACTATTTCTGATTTCAATTCAATAATCACGAAGAATTCGAACAACACCTATGGGGCAACGCTAATTTTTGTTATATCAGTCATGACAAATATAATGACTTCATAATATTATTCATAGCAGCTTATTCTCATTCCATTTTTCCAAGAAATAAAGTTTGCTCTGATCTTGTTCGACTTATTATTCAAAGTTAAAAACAAATTAGAGTATTCAGATGTTATTCAGGGTTATCATAACAAAGTGCAAAGAAAGCCCATCAAGATATAAAAAAGTCAGAGAAATTATCACTTGAACATCAACATTCATCCCTATATTTTCGACTCCCGATGTGGCAGAGAAGGTAAATTATTAATCAAGAAAATCATGCATAAAAATGTCTCATAGGTATGCGAGCTCAACATGACACTAATATGACAGCAACGCAAAGAAATAATTCATTGTGGAACACATCTCATCACCGTCTCGCTCATGCACCCTAGATAATATCCAGTTCGGTTCGGATAATCAACATGAGGGTGTTTGCTCCATATATCTACTATTTTTATATAAGGCGCATCACCTATATAATGAGAGGTACTTCTTAAATCTATAAAATATCAAAAGTCATCAATTGTTGATAATACTGCAGTATAATACCGTTAACTTCTATTTATTCCTTTATAATGTGGTTAAAATATAGCAAAGCATAATGTCAGTAACTTTGAGGAACAGGAAAGAGCCATCGCAGATGATAACGAAATGAACTGCGATAATGATTTCATTCATTTCGATGGAATCACTGCAAGATGGGCCGACTCAGATTTCCAGTTGTAACTCGAATATTCTGAATCTTTATATTTCGAAATAAAGATGTAATAAGCGAATGTCCGTTCTACGCCTTCTTGATTATGATATAAACAAAGCCATCTGAAATATTTCCAAGGCACCATCTCTCTGTGGCAGTTCTGATGTCCAAAAACATTGTCTTAAAACTCGTCTGACATTCTAGAACTATAAATTCCTAGGTATCCACGTCGTCACCATGGAGACGAAGAATCTTGGAATACTTGGGAGGACTCTCCATCTCCCAAGACAAATCTGAAAATTCCTAGACGCCCTTCTATCGCGAATACAGTTCACAAGGTATAGTACGAGTATCATCTACACATTCTTGACGAATGATTATAAGTATGCAGGTAACCTCAAAAACCTCATTAAAGAACATGATATTTCTTCAAAACAATTAGGAAATCCAACGACCTGTCAAACTTTGCCTTGATTGGCGCACACAGAAATTATTCATGTTCAATAATTTGTTTTTATTTATGAATTTCTGTTCCTATCGAGAGTGTATCTCTATAAACAAGAAAATCGCAAAAAGAAATAATTTAATTGCTATGGTCGCTTTAATCCTCTGATTTTATATATGGTGTCAACCCGGCGCCATATTGATTCTAATCTAAACTCCGCGGAGGAAATCGACGCCAGAGTCATATCCATATATTTATTAGGCCAAATACTCTCAAATGGTTATTATTTATTGAAGATCGAACGTTTACTTTTTCAAACTAATTTTATGATTGACATTGACAAAAAAGAAAGCTTAGCAGGAAGCATTTGACAAATGACAATCAATTTGAAGGTTGTTCCTGCCAACTAATAATACCAAAAGTTCGACCGATCATACAATCTTTGTACTGGTTTCAATCATATTGACAAAGTGTTGCGATGATCATGTTCTAATTGAATTCCATCCGAAGAAAGGCCATTCGCCTGCTGGGTGATGCCACACGCACTGACCTTTTTTTCTACTAGGGTGCGAAGGAGTTCACTTTCCTGCAATCGTTCTAGTGAGAACCACATTTTACCAGTGCGAAACAAACTTTTTCCGCACTAGTGCGGAATAGTAAGTTTGGTGAGTTCTTTCGGGTGTTCGATGACATTTCAATATTCAATAGTAATAAGAAGAAAAGCTCGAAGTCATCTCCACACTACTTATTTTGATTTTGTAATTATTCAATGGAACATATTTCGGACTTAAATAAGTCCATCTTCAACCCAATCAAAAGTAACTACAAACAAAGACAAGGCTAAAATACTTCCTAAATCATACAATACCGAAGTGGACATGGAGGGGAAACATTTTTGAATGAAGGTGCTGATGTCTATCATCATAATATTCTTGTTGGAATTCGTGAATAAACGGGTTTTCATGAGCATGAGAGCACGTACCTATCATAATCAAAAGTCAAGTCCCCGGAGAAAAGCTTGACGAGCTATTGCAAAGCAAAGGTCACAAGAAACCATTCTTTTAAAAAGGAAAGAGCCACTATCGAACCAGAAATAAATACTTTTGAATAATAATATAATAGGTCAAATTTTACCAAGAATATTATGATGATGGGCATTGGCACCAATATTTGAAAATGTTTCACCACCATGTGAGTCTAATTTGGTTTTCTATGATACGTATATTCGCCTTGTCTCTGCTCGTAGTAACTCCTAAATTGAGCTGAAAATGGACTTCTATAAGTCCGAAATATTCTCCCTCGAATAATTACAACATTAAAATAGTGTGCAGTTGACATTGAGCTCACCTTCTTCTTTATAAAAATTAACATCACTGGGATTCCCTTTCGTGCGCTCTGATACGAAAAAAGATGAATAATTAAACCAAACGAAATACTGTACTGTTTATATACAATGTTTATTTTCTGAGGTACCACCTCAAATAGATGGGTGTAGCGGAGACTTGCTGTTTTTGCAACAACGCGACCCAAACCGCGGAACACATACTTGCTCATGTTTCAGTATGCCAAAGTCTGAATCCTCGGCTGAATCATACCTAGAACAGGTCTATCTCACGCCTGCTGTCGAAAATTCAACCGTCAGGAAAATTGTAGGCTACATCAGAAGTGTAGGGTTAAAGGACCAAAACTTGATAAGGGTGATCGTAATAGATCTTTTAGGTCGCAGTAATCGAGAAATTTCCAAGCCTCCATGACCCATCTACAATCTACAACTACAGGTTGTTGATTCCCCATGCTATGATTTCAGCAAAATCATCATTAGCAGCGTTGGCCAACCATCGTTATAAGTTCTCAGTTTCCTGCAAAAAGCGATCTACTCCTTTTCCATCTCTTCTAGCCCACGAAAGGGAATTCCAATGATGTTCGAAGAAAATTCGATGGAATATGGCATAACTGAGGTGGTTAGCCGTATGATGCTAGTTTGTGGTGGACTCTTTGGTGCCAAACACAGAATCACGGTCACACCACAGCTACAGATTCCCTATGTGTTTCTAATGAAGATTGCCATGTATGGGTGACGCACGCAAGTAAATCTCCAGTTGATCTTTGGTGGCGAAAACCATATTGTCCATCATCAAAGATTACTCAGCTTTCCAGATATTATTTCATAAACTCAATGTTGAGATTCATGCAACTTCTCACGAACCAACTGGGGCTTTACCCAATACTTACATCGACATTAAGATGAGGAACATCGAACACTTGAGAGGGTGGAGACTCCTTGGGAACGAATCTGTAGAACTCCTCGTCGTCTTTATACCATTTGATGGTATACAAGGCGGCAGATTCTAGATCGTAGTCACAACCCAGCACCACCGATTCTCCCCTGGGCACTGCTTCTGGTACTCTAATGTGCATATTGGTGAGAGCTCGCACGTCTGGAATAAAAATGAATATTTCAAGTCTCACATTATATCCTGGGAGTGGTGGCGTGACGAACTAGAAATATTCGACTATTCCACTCATGTTTTCGAGAACAAATCAGATTTACTTATGGATTATATATTATTATTGATTTGTTGTTCAGGGTACCTAGGTTTCAAAAATCGCGTAAGTGAATCAGTGTTACTATTTTATTTTCCCCTTACCTCTCCATCAAAACCATACTTCATTTATTTGATGGAAAATTACAAAATTTCATGATAACTTAATGTTTCGATATTCCAGATTTTTTTGGATTTTCTCACTTTGTTTTTATGAAATATTTCAATATACGTGTAGTAAGGACAAATCAGATTTTTTTACCCAAAATGGCACTGTCAAAATGTCCTGCCAGAGAGCCTAAAAGGAAAATTCACCAGCTTGTTAGTGACAATTCGTATCGAAAAAAGTTTGGAGAAAGAAATAAAGTTATATAAAAAAAATATCAAATTCTTACTTAGCTTTGGACGTTTCGGGAACGATTCTGCTACCGTTCTCAACATAAAAAATGGATAATTTGTATCGCAAATTCGTATTTGTCCTGACAATTTTTAGTACTCAGTGACAATTGGTGACGTTGGCAATCAAATAAGTTACAGGATGTTCTTATCAATTAATCTTGAATTCACCATTTTCATTTTCAAATTTCAATAGTGAATATTATAATCTATCTATATCAACTGAACAGGAAGCAATGCTATTGTCTCCGTTTAGAAGAATACAAGCAGATTCCTTGATTTTTCTCTTCTGGTTGTTATCTTCTTTTCCAATGATTTGCATATTATTCCACTCGGGCTGTCCATCTTCAGTGAGGATATGTTCTGCTAGTTCCGATTTGTCGATGTGTCTTTCCTTTATATTACGTTCCTATAATATGAAGGAAACACATCGACAAATCAAAACTAGCTGAACATATCCTAACTGAAGATGGACGACATATGGCAGAGTGGAATGAAATTGAAATCATTGGAATAAAAGAAAACAACCAGAAGAGAAAAATCAAGGATTCTGCTTGTATTCTTCTGAACAAAGACAATAGCATTGCTTCCTGATCAGTTGATATAGAATATAGATAGCTGGTGAATTTTTTTTTTTAGGCTCTCTGATAGGAAATTTTTTTAAACGCAGTAACATTTTGGGGCAGATCATCTGATTTGTCCTCACTACACGTGTATTGAAATAATAATATTTTCATTTCATTGAAACGAGGAGAAAAAATCCCAAAAAAACTGGAATAATGAAATAATACCACCCTCTTGATTAACCTACAGACAGTGTTCAAGGTTTGAGTGTTTCTCAGCTTGTCTGGAGATTCATTGTATGAGTATTGTATATCATTTTGGAGGGAAAGAATCGGTTTCAACGAAATAATGAAATAAAGGGTGTTTCATTGAGAAATATTGAGTTTTTGTCGTATCTCTGAAACCGAACCCGGAAAAAATATGTGATGTACGCCACTGGACTGTGCGCAAAATTCCCTGTTAGACGAATATCTTACCGCAACATTATTCTGAATAACTACGTAGATATAAAAGGGTTCAAAAAAAAATTAATTTTAAAATCGCCCTGTATCTTATAAACGAAAACAGTTAAGCAAAGTCTGATCAGGCCATCATGAGTTTCAGAAAAAAGTAGGAAAAGATCGTGAATTGACAAACAAATTTGACAACAGCATAGATCTATCTTCAAGCTATCTTCGATAACAACCGAGAGACTGGCTACATGTTGGTGAGAATACGCCCGTTTTCAACAACAATAAACATTTCAGACGATTCCATCCGCTTGTGCGATGAGCGATGGATACAAACTTCAATTTATATGGTAATGCTGCAGTAGTATTGGCCACCTTCGTCCTGGTCCAAGGAATTTAGGGGACTATAGGGCATAGATATTAGAAGTTTTATACACGGAGTGATCATGTTTTAATGACTGATATTACAGGAATCTATCAAACCCGCGATTGAATATCATCATCTCTTACAATGGACTCATGGACTGAAATGATGGAGATATTATTGACAGATATGTATACTTTCGACAACAAGTTAAATGAAACTGTATCTGACTACGCCACTGACAAGATATCAATAATGTATTTTCCGATTCCACCATTCGATTCTGAATTTCGGTCTGCGTGATGACTTGAGATACTTCATTCAGATTCATTGAATTCTCGTAGGTATACACTTCTTCTTCTGAGTATATCCTTGGACTTCGTGATAAAGGGTATTTATATTCCGTGGAAAATGTATGATAACGTTAATACCAATTCAATTAAAAATTGAAACAGGACCATTTTACTCAGAAATTGATACATCTGATCGATGCGGAACCACCAGAGCACCTTTTATTTGTGAAGAGCTGTGGATTCTCTCATTCCGAGATTGAATTGTCGAGAAATATGCATACAAAAGAGTGTGAGCAATATTTAATGTAGTCCCCCATGTATTATATCAGAATGAGATTTCGGAAGGCTTTTATTTTCACTGCATTGGGCATAGAAAGTTCAGTTCTTGTATCAAATTGCATCATTTTATCACATTGCGTTTCGGAAATATCCAAAGAAATATCATTCTCAGATGCCCCTTCCAGGGATCTGTATAGCACCTTCAGGATACATACAGGTACTTTTCGTCCTATTTCTGGTCGTATAGGCTGCTGGTGAAGTTTGACAGGCTATAGTTTCGCGGCACCCTGTATATATATCGCGTCAACTTATGGAGATATATTCTGAATACTCTATCAGAACCCTTTCTTTGAATCTACAAAGGAGGGGATACTCGCACAAAACACACACACGTTTCTTCAGCTATAAGTTTTTATTATCAGCTGATTGAAAAAATCATTCTCATAAAAAACATAAACTTGAGATGCCAAGCCCATCCCATTTTTATTTGCGGGTGCACACTTCTGGAACAGCACTGATCATTCCAGACAATTCCATTCGCTCAAGAAGCTGCTTCAAGACCCAATTTATATTCTAATGCCAATGACTTTAGTAGCCTAGATTGCGCGAATGTGTTGGCCCGAACCTCGGAATAGGCGGACGAAGAGATGAAAGTTTATTCACGCGAATCCGACTGACCCGGATATCATTCTCTGTTGATAATCTAGAGTATTACGTATACAACCCCATAAATTTCTATAGAAATAGATAGAATAGAATAGATAGAACAACGCAACACATACGTATAGCGTTTTCCAGTCGTCGCACATAGAAAAAATATTTGTTTGAAAATATTATCTGTGTAGTCCAATCAAATGGTATTTTCACCTGGCAATATTCGAGTAGTCGGTTTCTCTGTGTTTTCATATGTTTTCTGAAGGTGCTGAACTCGATTCTGAATTTTGCCAAGAAAATTTCCTGGAGCGTTCCAACATATTCGCAAAAAACATCGAAATTTTCGGACTTTTTTCGGATTTTTGCCCGTAACTCGGGAATTTTACGTTATAATTTGCGTACTTTTCAAATAACAGCGTTATCTGATCCTGTTCTAGGATAGTCAGCCTTTGGCGGACTGGTACATTACATGAACGAAGGTGCTCCGCGGTTTACTGTCAGTCTCCTCTATGGACCCATTTTTTCAGTAATAGCTCAGAGGGTAGTGCCTTAGCTCTTGTTTGCTGAAACTTACCAGGTAAAATGTGAGCTATGCACTTTTTTGCTAAGCGATCAGCTGCCTCATTCTCTTGACGCCTTGGAACCAACTTGAGCGAGAATTGAGTCCAATACTTATTCATCACAAAATAGGTGATTATCTGCGTAAACGCTATTTTTTGAGAAGTACCTAAATTTGGTCAATTTTCAACTGGCTCTATGTCCGCACCCTTCAGTCCTACATTCATGAGCATGGAAAATTTTATTCAGGAAATGTTATATACCCAATTTTTTTTTTTGGGAGATCTTCTCGATATAATGCATGATTTCTAACATATGAAACCTCAGAGAAACCGACTACTTGAATTTTTTCCCCGATTTGGGTACTGAAATTCAATTGAAAGAATCCACTTCCTCACATTGAGAAATATATCTTCTAAATCATTTACTTGAACAGAACACTCGAATAACTTGTCTGAAATCAAAGGACTTTGAAACAAGATCGATGAGTTTCATTTCGAAACATGTTACCACTTAGAATTTCGAAATGAAATATCTCACCCTGATAATATGAAAAACTTGATCTGAGTAAAAATGTCTCGTTACAATAGATTCTCATTTCACTTGAAAGATCTCAATTCTTTGCTAACAAGACACTTGAAAATCTTGAAGAGATTGTATATCGCTCTAGATTGTATATCGCTCTGCATTTGTTGTCGTTTGTGTCGTGCGTTTGGTGGAGTTCTGTGGTTTGTTCCCAGACAGCACTGGATATTCCTAGAATATTCTCTAAATATGCTAAAAGAGAAGAATATATTCCGAATATCCTTCGAATATTTTTAGAATATATACGTGCCTCTGGAACATTCAAAGAATATTCAAATGTGAATATTCTAGTAATATTTCAAAATGAATATACGAGGAATATTCCAGAAGAGATATTCTGAAGTGAATATTCCTAGAATATTCCAGTTGGATAGTGCAGGGAATATTCAGGTGAGAATATTCCAGGAATATTCCCAACTGAATATTCTGTTCCTGTATATTCATGGAATATTCCAATAATATTTCCATGTGTTTCAATGATATTGTAAAGTATGGAAATTAACCAATCACTATTTTATAGATGTGAGTCATTGATTTTGTAATCTCTGGTAGAAGTCCATCGTATTTCAAAGTAAAGTGGTTATATTACCAGGGATCAAAAACACAAAGTCGTCTCCACAATTTTGATAGGTATAGTGATCAAAGTACTCAAAGATCATCGTACATGTTAAGAGCCCATATGGAACTGGAAGTGTTTATGATCCGCTTCTGAACAACGCAATTCAATGAATTGTTATGTACAGTATTATTCAACTCGATTACTGGTCTAGTGGTTAAGGCGTTGATCTGACAGTCTGAAAGTCCCGAGTGCGAACCCATCTTGGGTCAGCTTTTTTTAATTATGAATATGTATCAAGGAATATTCCCGGAATATCCATTTATTTATATTCCTGTATTATTCCTGGAATATTCCGAATATTATCTGAATATTCCTAGAATATTATAGGTACATTCTGTATAAAATCTATATTTTTCTCTAAAGTAAATATCTCTATTTCAATCGTAGAATCTTTTTAATCTCTTGACTTTTTACAATAATAAATTCAATCATCAATTCTGACACTGTCATCATTCTTCTTTTTAACAATATACAAAGCGTATAGAAACGACAAATATAACAAAAATAGATAATCTTCCTCAACATTCTACCCCCTGGTGAAGACTTCTTCACAAATTCCTTTGTCCGTTAACATCCAATTTGCAGAGTTTCACGACAGGTCGTCGATAGGTTCCGTACTGGGTTTTCACTTCTACAACTCTTACGATCTGTTTTATAGCTTCGTCTTCTGTACATTTGCTATCTAAATAGTCGTCGACGTTATGTTTTTTTAGTATAGCTTTCGAGGCATCACGATACTCTTTCTCATGCTCTACAGCATTCTTGTTTTTAATGAATTGTGCTAAACATGGGGAACATGTTGCTCCGAACGTCATAACCATCATTTCATAGACTTCAGGATCCTTCTGTCTTTCGCGTCCCCTCCAGAAGAAGCGTTGGGCAGTTCGGTCTTCCTTTCTTATAACCACTTGATGGAACATTTCCTTTATGTCCCCAGTGAATGCTATCTTGTTTTGTCGAAATGTTATAAGCACTCCAGTCAGTGGTCTCAGTAGGTCTGG